ACAAACACTATCTTTTAAAATACATAATGATAATGATTATAAATTGTATTATCAAAACCGATAAGGTATATAAATTCGTTTTCCTTTTCAAATCGATAATGAAGAAAAAAGTCTAATTGGGGAAAAGATGATATATATAAATCATGATTTTAGAAATCTGATATATACAAATCTTAGGATGCGGTTTCAAACAATTTAATAATATAATAATAGGCTGAATGAATTATGATTCAGATTCATGCAGAAAAAATTTTGAACAGATTTCTAAAATCATGATATATACAAATCATGATTTTCCTTGTAGATTTATTCGGATTTCCAAATTGTTTGGAAATCAAGATTTTTAAAATTATGATTTATTCGGATTTACATTCGGATTTCCAAATTTTTTGGAAAAATAGGAGATTTAATCGGATTTTGATTCCTTATTGGTTACTAATATAAAAGTATTTGATATTATTAATAAAAAATGGGAAAAAGTTGATTTACTATTTTTAGGAGATAATTAATGAAAAGTGGCGAGAAATTATTTCTAAATTTGATTTATGTTAATCCTTATTATATAGGATTAACATATCTGTTACTTTTACGTAAATACTAATGTATATATATATATATATATACATATATATATATATATATTATTTCTAACAATTATTAGAATTATGATTGATTTTTAAAAAGAATCTTCAGTTGACAATATTAATTATATGTTTTATATTGTATTTTAAAAATTTTTAAAATACGTATGGTAAGTGTATTTCTTAAATTAAGTGTATTAAGTATGGTAAGTATATTTCTTAGATTTATTTGATTTTGATTCCATATTTTGATTGTATTCCTAAAAAAATTGGATAAAAAAGGTATGCTAATAAATAGAGATTTTGTTAATTTACTATTTTTAGGAAATAATTAATGAAATTGGCGGAAAAGTGTTTCTAAAAGTGAATTATGTTAATCCTTATTATATATTAACTGGTACAGAGCCCGTGCGATGCACGGGGTGCACAATTTTAAGGTTATTTATCCAGCCTTATAATTATATAAATGAATAAAAAATATACGGGATATATATAGTACAGGACCGGTGCGAGACACGGGATATATTTATTTAGGGAATATTATATTATAAGATGAAATATTCAATAAAAGTTTTATAGTAAGCAGGAAAATTATACAATGAAATAGTATCTGACAAAAAAAAAAAAATCATATATTATTAAAGACCTCCTTGTAAATAGATATTAAATAATTTATTAGTAAAATAGTGTATAAGTTGATTACAATAATAAAACAACATGCTCACGGGATTAGTAAAAATATTTCATGGATTGAAGATTTAATAGGACTAAATATTTAAATTAATTAACTTAGATAATTCAAAAGCCTTTCAATATTGTTTTGACTTTAATATATTACAACATGTGTATACTTTAAATATATTAATATTTAAGGAACTTTAAACAACATAATTTTTTTAAAAAAATATTTTAGGGAACTTTAAACAACATATTTACGTCACTCATAAAACAAATTATATTTCAACATCATAGTTATAGTATTATTTAAGGAACTTGAAACAGCATTGTTAAATATTTACGTCCACCCATAAATTTTTTACAAGTCGAAGGTAATTAATCCCGTTTCTTTTTTATTTGTTTGTTTGTTCAATTTTTTTTGACAAAACTGATATCATGAATAAAAAAACTAATATTAAATAAATTAATTTAATAATATAAAATAATTTGCTTTAGACAGATATAGGATGCGGATAATTCTCTCATACCAAACAACGCGATTTCAAAATTGTCACAGATCCAACAATCCTATCCAATACTTCATATTTAAATAAATATTAAATAAAATGCTTTAAACAAAATTTAGGTAATGAATTTTGAATATGCATTTTTTTAGTATAAATATGCTTTACGTACAGTTTTTTACTTCACCGATTATGAGATTTGTTTTGACTAAATCGATGTTATTATGGAATAAAACAAATAAATAAAGTCTTTTTTATTTTAGTAAAGATTTTACGTACTTTTTTTTACTTATCAGATGTGATGGGATTTTTTTAAGCTGATTTTTATTTTAGATTTTTTTTTAAAGAATAACTAATACAATTTTATTATCTAAACCATCAATAAAATCATTTAATGATGTGATCATTGTCTTTTAAATGATAAATAATATTATTTTTATAAAAAAATATTAGTTTTATATAATTAAATAAAGGTTAAAAAATATTACTCGATAAATATTAATTATAATGGATATCAGTAAAATCATTGCATAAATTATTTAAGGAAAAAAATTTTAAGATCATATCTGGATAATAAATGTAAATATGTAAGAATTTAATGCATATAGTAAAAAATTTCCAAATAAGGTATGCATTAAATGTGTGTTGATTTTTCTTGCTACTATTTTTGGTAAATAGGTTGACTTTTAATATATATATAGATATAGATTAATAGATCTATTAATTAAAAATCTATTTGGTATAGATAAAACTCTATGCGCACGTTTATTTGGTGGGATAGACTAAGATATCCTGACTTATCCCTTATTATCCCATGTTTGTTTTGTTGGATTCAGGCCCGGGAGTACCCAGTCGGCACGGGATAAAAAGGGGTTTATCCCATATATAAGGGATAACTCCATCCCACCTGGTTGGGATAGGCTTAATCCTGAAAAGAAATTGTCTTTTTTGCCCTCATTTTTTTTTGCCTATTTTAACCTTCCTATGTCCAGAAATTACATTACCGCTTCAAATTGTATTTTCAGCCTTGGATTTCAGAACGATCTTACGCCCGAACCCTAGCCCCAAAAAAAGACACCACAGTCTTCAGAGTCTTCTCCGATCTGCGGCGTCGAAAGTCGGGCCGACGCTGCTTCACAGTCTTCTCCGATCTGCGGAAGTGGCACGCAGCACCGACTGCGATAACGGTATTTTTTCGGGCTCTCACTGTTTCCGTGTAGTGATTTGGTGATAATAGAATCGGGCAAAGAAAAGCTGGTATCTGCACTAAAATATGATCTTTTTTGAGCTGAAAGTGAGTAATTTTTTGTTATTTGTGATATTCTTCATATGAAAAGCTAGATTCAACTGAGTGTTGAATTGTGTAAGCTGAATTGTGTAAATTGATGTGGACAATGTCTTGGTTGATAGAGGGTCTCTATCTCTCTGCGATAGATATTAGAGATTAATTAATTGACATTTTCATTTTTTGCATATGAAGCACCTTTTCTTTGAATCAAATTCAAGAGAAAAGATTATGAAGTTGTGACCATACTGGTAAAACTTTCTCTCAATTCTAGAAGATAACCCGATGCCTCAGTGGCCAGCGTGTTGGATTTTGGTGGAGTATCGCCGCATTAAAGTGATGAAGGCCACAGCTTGTGGGAAAATTTGGAGGAAAACGATGTTTTTGTGTTAATATATTTCAGGGGTAAAAAAAGTCTTTCAAACCATTTTGCTTTATTTGTGTTAAATTAGACATTTTTTTTTTTTAAACAAACAATATTAAATTTATCGAAACAGTGCAATCCTTCACATTAGCACTATTTTAGTCCAATCTCATCTCATAAAGAAAACGTGGGCTATGGTGGGGTTTATTGGGCTTTCCCCCCCTTCTTCCTTGAGCCCTCATAGAACAAACTATCAAATCAAATTATTCTTTGTTTCAAGAAAAAAAATAATCATTATTTCCCCCCTTTGTTGAGAAAATCAGCTGGCGCATTCACAGAAAAATGTCTTCTTCTTCGAGCAGCGGCCTAACTTTCAAGCTCCATCCCCTCGTCATTGTCAACATCTCCGATCACTACACTCGGGTCAAGTCCCAGTACCTTCCGCCTCCGGATGCCCGCAACGGTGGCGAAAATTCAGTGGTCTCTCTTCCATCGCCGCCGCGCGTGTACGAATGCGTCATCGGCGTCCAGCGCGGCCGCATCGTGGAGATCTTCAACAGCTTCGAGCTTATTGATCATAGAAAGATCCTAATTTCTGAAAACCACAGTAATCCTGCATAGAAAGATCTACCCGTTACAATATATGAAAGTGGTACGTACTTATTGATCTCTTGTCACTGGATTTCCTGAAATCCTTCTCTGAAATAGGTCTCACCTATGTGATATGGTGATTGTTGTATCGCACTTTTATGTGTCAACTGTGGTTTTAGGTCAAAACATGAAGAAGCATTAACATAGAGATTTTTCAGGCTTTCTGTACTTCTGAGTCTATTGTTTGATTTTAACTGGACAAAGACACCTGTACTATGTTATGATTGATAACATCAAGCTCAGAGCTATCTAGAACATCTTGAGTACTTCAGATCTGAGAAGCTAACTGCTCGAATTTTGTTGATGAACTTGTAAGCATGTCTAGTGCCATGTGAAAGATATATTTTTGCCTGATATAATGATATATTAATTAGTTATATTAAAGTCTTAAAGTTTGTTTTTAGTTCCCTCCACAATATAGGCGATGTATTGTTATCCTTATATAATAATAAATTATCTGGTTTTAGGCATCTATGTTTCAGTGCTGAAGTTTTGGCGACCATGTGATATTTTGTTATTGGCTAGGGAAGAATTGCCACTGTTTATGTTACTAATTTTACTGTAAGAGGAAAAACCTCATGAGTTCTGAATGCAGAATCATTAACCTACTATTGTTGATTTACAAAATTATTCTATTTTCTTTCCCTCTATTTCTCTCTCATTTTTTACTGCTTTTGTTGACCAAACATAACTATCCAGAGTTGCACGTTATTGATAGCATCCCCCAGCTTATTTTTGTTGGATCAAGTTATACCATAGAGGTACTCATTGTTTCTTAATTTTCGCCATTATACTTTAGGCAAGACTGAGAATACACGAGCATTTTAATTTATAATTTTCTTTAACTGGCTTTCTAGACAGTGGAAGCTGAAAGAATATCTGTTGATCATGTCGCCCATCTTAAGCCATCTGATGGGGGTTCAGCTGCAACTCAATGTGAGCCTTTTGCCCATTTTCTTTTTCTTTTTTCTTCTTCCTTTTTTTTTTTGTTGACAACTTAAGTGATAAAAGCACCCCTCACAGCATGAACAATTGCTTCTCTCTGTAGTTGTCTTTGATCATAATATTGATTATTAACTACTATCCTTTATTTTTTAGTGGCTGCTCACCTTACTGGCATACACAGTGCAATTAAGATGCTGAATAGCAGGATCCGGGTGCTTCATCACTATCTTCTTGCCATGCAGAAAGGTACTATGTGCATTTTATTTCTTTTCTTCTATGGAGAGAATATTCAAGTAAACAAAGAATGTATGTGTTTTTTTCAATTGACGAGAAGCACTGGAAATTAGCCGATTCAAAATGTGGCTCCTTTTGTTATTTCCATTATGAAGTGTCCACTGGTGTTTAAGTAGAGTGTTTGTGTCATGTTTTTGCTGCTATTTACAGGTCAATGCCATGTGACATTTCTTTATTGAGGCAAGAATCTAGCTCTTGAGAAGACTACCAGCCATCGAATCTGACAAATTCCAAGATGATTTCTTCATGGTGAGTGCTTTCTAATAGTTATTGTTTTTTCTTCCAATTTTTAATCTGTATCATGTACTCTTAATTTTCTTTTAATGCTTTGGAAAAAGATATTTGAATTAAATTTCCATTCGTTTGTTGCTACATATCTTTTGTATATGTAAAAAGAAGAATGCATTCTAATCCTAATGTTTATGCTTTCCAGGAATATAATGACACTCTGTTGATAATGTATCTGGCAATGTTCACCAACTGTTCAAGGTATGCCAGTTTCTGCTGAGTACTTTTCTAAAGGCTAGGATGTAAACCTATAGGGCGCGGTTAGAAGCTCTGAAACGAAGTTATTCTTACTTCGTAGGGTGAAAGAACTAACTGATTTTTCCACGTAAATTATAAGTTTTGCTCTTTTTTTTTTTGTGGTTAAGAATAGGATTATCCAACACGTCATATGCACTTCAATCTGCCTTGTTCTGAGTTGGCTTAATGTTATATGACCTACCTTGCCTTGTTGGAGAGGTTGCTCGGGTGGCATGGAATAGCTTATATGTAGTTTTATTTATCTGTTTATTTATATCTACTTTCCTATCATCATCATCATCATCATCATCATCTTGTACATTTCAAAAAATTTTGATTGTTCAACTAAGGCTTTCCTGCATAATCTGTATATCTCCCAATGTAGTTGCCGTATTTGTTGCTCTCTAGCTGTAATTGTATGTACTCAGTTATCACTACCACTATTATTAGGCACCCTAAGAAATTCAATCCTAATATCACGACAGATTGAGTTTTAAGTTGATAGGCCAATATTCCATTACTTGAAGCATCTGACTTATTTCTTTATGCATGCAGCTCGTTCATCGAGCTGGTCGACAAATTCAAGTAGGATTGGTTGAGTTATACTCTAGCCAGATGTGTTGTATACTCGAGCCAAACTGCTGCTTCAAAAGAAGAAAACGGATCCAAACTCACACGGAAGGTAAGGTTTCTAAACTCATATGCAAAACAAAATAATGAGTACAAGAGAAAGATTTTATGTTTGTATAGATAAGTTTATAGTACCTCATATATGTTGGGAAAAGATTAATTTTATGCCAACTAAGTTAATGGATGAACCCTTGATCTCCCAAAATTACCTAGTTCATTGAAGCGTGTCTGACAACAAAAAGTTTCAACATTTATTGAAATGCAATTTTGCAAAATTTACAATAGTGATAATGTTTCATAAGAAACTTAATGCTAAAAAAAGTTGAACTACCTGATATATGGGATAAGGTTCATATCATTCGTTGAGTTATCAGACTCAAAACAATTAATAGTGAAATCAAGCATACCAAAAATAATAAATGTTACCAGCAAGTCTGATTAATTCAAGTTTTAAAACATTGTCGTATGGAAAAAAATGTAACCCAAAGTTCTAATCAGATGTAGAATATGAAAGCTCAATTTTAAAAGTATTACTCGAGATGTTGAAAATGTTATCAAATGCCTTGATAGAAGCTCTGGGACATTCGCATTACAACTCACATAGCAGAAGATTTCCGACCTTGTGGCCACTATCAAGCTATTGGACATTAACTCCTCCTGCAAAGTTATAACAATTAGTACAAGAAAAAATAAATTTATATTTATTGAACTTTAATAGGTTTGTATAGTACCTTTGTGAATATATCTATTTCGCCTCATCTCACCAGATTGAATGTCAGATTGAATGTCATATTGACTGTGTCTGGAAACATTTTGACATGAAAGACAATTTTAGAATTTAAAAAAATAACAAACTGAATCAAAATTATTTACTCTAAAAAATAAACCAAAGTCTATTTTTTTTGCACATAAATTATAAATTTCGATTTTTATCTTTTGGGTGTGTTTTCAACATAAAACAGTTGTTTTGAGGATGTAAATTATAAATGTCGACTGTACTGCGCATAGCACAACAACTGTTTTATGTTAAAAACACACTCAAAAGATAATAATCGAAATTTATAATTTATGTGGAAAAAATAGACTGGTTTATTTTTAGGGTAAATAATTTTGATTTAGTTTGTAATTTTTTTAAATTATGAAATTGTCTTTATGTCAAAATATTTCCAGACACTATCAACATGACTCAATCACCATGACGTTCAATCTGGTTTGGTGAGACGGAATTGATATATTTACAAATGTACTATACTTACCTATTAAAGTTCAATATATATAAATTTTTTCTTGTACTAATTGCTTTATCTTTTGCCGGAGGAGTTAATGTCAATAGCCTGATAATGGCCACAAGGTCGGTGATCTTCTGCTATGTGAGTTGCGATGCGAATTTTCCAGCCTTTCTATCAAGGCATTTGATAACATTTTCAGCATCTCACGTAATACTTTTAACAATTGAGCTTTCGTATTCTATATATGATTAGAACTTTGGTTACATTTTTTCCATACGACAATGCTTAAAACTTGTATTAATCAGTCTTGAGTCTGGTAACATTTGTTATTTTTTGTCCACTTGTTTTCACTGTTAATTATTTGGAGTCTCGTGACTCAACGAATGATATGAACTTGGTCCAATATATCAGGTAGTTTAACTTTTTTTAGCATTAAGTTTCTTATGAAACATTATCACTATTGTCAATTTTGCAAAATTGTATTTCAATAAATGTTCAAATTTTTTGTTGTCAAACACGTTTCAATGAACTAGGTAACATCACAGTGACTTTGGAGGATCAATGTACATCCATTAACTTAGTTGGTATGAGATTAATCTTTTCCCAACATATAATGAGGTACTATAAACTTATCTATACGGACAGAAAATCTCTCTCTTCTACTCATTATTTTGTTTTGCATATGAGTTTAGAAGTCTTACCTCCCGTGTGAGTTTGGATTCGTTTTTTTCTTTTGAAGCAGCGGTTTGGCTTGAGTATACAACACATCTGGCTAGAGTATATAACTCAACCAATTTATATTCTTCGAGCGGCTTGTGATCATACATGGACACTGGTGTTACAAAAGATTTGCTAAAATGGTAATCTTTACAAGTTGTTTTCATAAAGTTCA